TCTTAAAACAGGGCTCTTAAGGTCTTATGTTAGGGTTATAGCTGTTCTTAGGTTATTGCAATAATGCAGATAAAATGCTTAGCTTGGCACCTAGCATGTAGTAGGTGCTCGAGAAAACAGCCAATATCATTTACCCATTTAGCTACTATTTATTGAAAACCTAGGAGCCAAGGATACAGCAAAGAAGAAAAACAAATATTGTTCTTGCTTTAATGAGTTCCTAGTCTCTGTGTTCCTAGGATGTAGCAAATTATTAGCTTAAAATATGTTGAAATGAATGCATAAAGGAACAAATGAATGAATAAATGAACAGATGTACTGCAGCAAGTCATTTCGTGGCTACAGTTTCAGTGAGAGTAAGAGGAGAAAAGGGAGTTTTTTTGTTTGTTTGTTTTTTGAGAAAAGGGAGTTTTAAAAAATAATAGCTAAGCCCAGCTGGGGTGGTTCAGTGGACTGAGTGTTGTCCCATGGACTGAGAGGTCCCCATTCAATTCCTGGTCAGGATACATGCCCCGGTTGTGGGTTTGATACCCAGTGGGGGGGGGTGTAGGAGGCAGCTGATCAATGTTTCTCTCTCACTTCGATGTTTGATGTTTCTCTCTAAAAAATCAATAAAAATATAAAAAATTTGCCCTGGCTGGTTTGGCTCAGCGGTTGGATCATTGGCCTGCAGTACTGAGAGACCCGGGTTCGGTTCCCACTAGGGGCATGTACCTCAGTAGCAGTTTGTCCCCAGCCCTGGTTGGGGTCGTGTGGGTGGCGGCCACTCGATGTGTCCCTTTCGCATTGATGTTTCTGTCTCTCTCTCTCTTTCTCTCCCTCCCACTCTATCTGAACAAAAAAATGGAAACATGTCCTCGGGAGAGGAGTAAAAAAAAAAAAAATTTTTTTTAAAAATACAATAGCTAATATTTCTTGGGCACTCACAATGCATCAGTACTGGACTAAATGCTCTTTGTTTTTTGTTTTGTTCTGTTGTTGTTTTGTTTTTTTATAGAGAGAGGGAGGGAGAAAGAGATAGAAACATCGATCAGCTGCCTCCTGTACGCCCCCTACTGCGGATCAAGCCCGAAACCTGGGCATGTGCCCTGACCAGGAATTGAACCAGGACCTCCAGTCCATGGGATGAGGCTCAATCCACTGAGCCACACCAGCAGGGCAACTAAATACTTCTTGTAGTCTCAGCTCATCCTCACAGCAAACCTGTAAGGTAAAGTGTTACCCAATTTTACAAAGAAAAAAATATCTGTGAGGTGGACTTTCCTAAGGTCACACAGTAAGTAAGTACAGTGGCAGGTTTTAGGCTTAGGCCTGCCATCTCCAAAGCTTGGATTAGAACTCTTGCTCCCTTGAAGCAATGGGCTGAAGGGCCCTGCTGGGGCATCTTTCACCATCCTCCTGCCACCTCTAGATGGTTGGCTGGAGCTCTTGGCACACAGAAACTCAGCAGAATGGCCTCCACCTGCACCAGTAATAATGGGCAATGTGCTACTCTCAGTTTTTGGAGCAGGCTCACTTCCACTTGCTCATGTGCTGAGCCTCACATGTGACTGTTTCACAACAGTCCTGTGAAGAGAATATTAATCACCCATTTCACAGACCTGGAACTGAAGTTCAGGAAGGTTGGCTTCGAAAAGTCATGTAGGGCAGGTTCTGGGGTATGGTGGAAACTGCTGCCCTCTGGTGCTTCCCTACTTCCAAGCTCACCCTCTGCCAGTCATCCCCCCATCCCTCCTCACTCTCATAACCCCTCCCTGCCGTTCTCCTGGACAGGGTAATTATAGGCCTAAAACTGAGTAAGGTGAGCTAAGAGAGACCTCCTGGGACCCTGCCTGGAGTGGTCACTTTTCACCCAGGATGGGATTTTAATCTGTTCACAACTTTTCTGATTCTGGTGTTTGGTGGTTTTTAAAGAGGGTATCCCCCCTCAATTCTCTGCCAAGTGCTCATTTTCTCTGTGTGTGGTTCTTACCTTAGGGGTCTTAGCAGGAAACGGGAACACTCAGAGTATTTGCCAGAAGAGGGTTTAATGATGGGACTGTTCACAGAGATGTGGGCAGGAATAGTGAAGCACCCTGGGGCTCACCACAGTGGAATGGAGCCACAACCCATGGCCAGGAGGGGCAAAAGGAAGAAGCCTTGTTAATGAACCTGGAGAGAGATGTATCCATGGGTGCAGGCCAACCAACAGAAACTGCGGGGTGGAGGTATCAAAATCACAGGGGAAGAAGAGTATTATAAATATCCTGATCTCGCTCTCCTCCTTCCCTTTGATCTACCAGTGTATCCTTTGGCCAAACTCCACCTGAAACCATAAGGCAAGGGGGCCTAGGTGAGACTGTCAGCAGGAGTCAGCCCCAGGATAAAGAGCAGGGCAGAGAAGCTTGGAGAACGGAGGTCAGGCTGAGAGTAGCTAGCCTAGTTTCTCTTCTCTTCTTGGACTCCACTTTGTGCACGGGGTGAGAGACCGACCATGGCTGTGCTTGTCTTTTAAAGCAGTCTGTACCTGTCACAGAACCCCTGTTCTCATCTTTCCAGGACCAAGTTACTTTGCCCAGGAGGCTGAGGCTGTCCCCAGTCCTGAAGTCTCTCCCATCCCTGGCTTCCCTGGTTCTCACGTCACTCAGTTCAGTGATTTGACATTATTCTCTGCATGGGTTCGTCTCCCCAGGAAACAGTTCTAGCATCCTCTACCCTGTGAGCTCTTTTGCAGGCAGGAGTCTGAGCCAAATAAAGCCATTTGCTCTGACATAGGATCTGGCACAGACCAAGTGGCAATGTTTGCCAAGTGAACTGAATCCTACAGCCTCATCACCTTACAATGCCTTGGTATACACGATCTGGGCACATGTGTGTCTGTTTCCCTGAGTACACTGGGACTCCTTGGTGGTGAGTGGTCCAGAGATGTGGGCAGGAATAGTGAAGGACCCTGGGGCTCAGTCCCCTCTGACTGGCACATAGCAAACATCAAATGTTGCCTGAATTGGCCTAGGTAGGACCATCCTTCTTTCCTTCATTCATACAACTTTTTTTTTTTTTGAGGTCCTACTATATGCTAAGCCCTGTGCTGTGCCATGGGACATGGCAGTAAACAAGACACACAAAGTGATGGGGCTTCCATTCTAGTGGGGGAAGCAGAGGAGGAATTGAAAGAAACAATGTTATTGCAGGTTGTAATATGTGCTGTACAGGAAATAAACAAGGTGATGGGATAAACAGCAAGTGGGTGGACATTCATACGAGAGGAGGAGCCATATCAGGGAAGGCCTTTCTGAGGACATGACATATAAGGTGAGACCTGAAGAAGAGTAGAAAGTGGGATGTGAATAGTTGGAAAGGGTGTTCTAGGTAGAGGGAACAGCTAGAACAAAAGCCTGGAGGTGGAGCAGTTTCTAGGACCCTGAAGGATTCAGTGTTTCAGCCTAAAGAGAAGGGCTTAGCAAGGGAGACTAGGAGGGGTTAAGGAATTCAGTCTTGGGGACTGCTCTGGACCAGCTCCTGGGCTAGGGGTTTGGATGGGAAGGGATGACCTTTTTAATGCCACCCTTGCTGCCCTGCCCGTTGCCTAGCACCAACTGCAAACAGTGTTGCTGGCAGGCCTTACCCTTGCTCCCTGGGCTCCCCTCTGACTGGCAGCAGCTGTCAAATGACCAGCAGCTGAGGCGGTGCCAACCTCCTCCCCTGGAATATTTTAGGAGTAAGTCAGAAAATGACCAGCAGGCTCCAAAACACAACTTTTTCTTGTACATACCTTACAAGGGTGTATTTGGCTGCCTTGGGTGTTAATCTCCCACCCCCTTGCATTAGACAGAGATATATAAATATACAGCCACAGGCAGCACACTCAGATACATGAATTAATGAACACAGACGCAGGCCTCATAGTCATAATAGTCACATATGGGCACACAATCCCACAATCTCCTGCTCTGCACTCCACATACACAACCAGGTTGTGTCCATACAGCTAGCAGTGGGCACATTGATCCAACACATAATCCACATATATTCAACACATTCGCACCATTACCCCACTCAAGGCCTCTTTAATTAAACACACATCCAGAATCTAGGCTTGTAACAGTGCATAGCATTCTTCAGCGATTGAGTCAAAGACCTCCCCACACAGAGGGGTGAAGTGGAAAAAAGGCATCAGAAGGGAGAACGCCTGAGGCCCGGGTCTGGGAAGGGATGGGCAGCTTCTCTGGGGAAGAGAAAGACTTCAGTGTTGGAAGTTTGACCCTGACAGTGGTGGGCTAAGGACTTGGGGGAGGGGCATGCCTCGGAGTGCACAGAAGCAGGGCTGGGTGGGGGTGACAAGTGAAGCAAAACGAGAGACCCCAGAAAACCTCGCGCAGCATGGAGGCTGAAAGCTGTGTTAAATATGGACTCAACCTTATAGGCTTAAACTCCTGCTACACAGTCCTTCCTTAACCCTGACCACAGGCTCCCCACTGTCCCCAAATGCATGTGGTGTGGTTTGTTAGCTCTCGTCCTCCAGTCCTCCAGGACAGCTGCGGGGCCGCGTTCCTTCCCTTGCGCAGGTGGAGACCGAAAGGCACCCAACTGCGGCCTACATTCCCAAGAGGGTGGGGACGCTGGTCCCTCTTAGTCCCCCACCCCAAACCGTGCCTCCTTTCCCCCACCGGCCAGGCGGGGAAAGTGCTCTCCTGGGGCTGTAGAGCCACCCTCCTCTCCTGATTGCCCGCAACTGGGACCCTTGGAGGGAAAGGGTGGAGAGAAAGAAGGTTCGGGAAGATCTTGAGGCTGGCTCGTTTCGGAGACGCCTATAACGCCCCCCACTCACCCACCCACTCACTCCCACCCTTGGCTGATTCCAGAAGGGGCGGCTTCTCCCCGCCCTCTGGCCGTGTGGCCTGCTCCCTCCTCCCGCCAGCAGGAGCTCGGGCCAAGTGGGCGCGCCCGCCGGGGCCGGGATCCGGTGTCGGCTGCAGCTGTCAGTGCAGCGGGCGTGGAGCTGGCGGCCGGCTGGGCCGCCTATTAATAACGCGGCCACCCAGCCGGGGGTCGCGTAGCCATGGCCAGCCAGGAGCCCCGGCGCGGCGGGGACGGCGCCACCCAGGCCGCGAGGTAGGATCGTCCAGAGCCCGCGTGGCCACCTCTGTGGGGAGGGGAGGCTGGATGGATTCCCTTCCCCCACCCACCAGCACCTTTCGCCTTGAGGGGGTAGTGGGCCCGCGGTGCGGCAAAGGGCGGAGCCACCCAGGGAAGAGAGATGGGGGAGTCCCGGCACCTCCGTTTGTCTGTGGCTTTTTATAATACCCCCTCCCCTCCCATGAGCCCTGTGAGAATTAACCCTTTCAACCGTTAAATGCCATTTGGCCCATAGTAGCCAAAGAAGTTACTGTTTCTCTCAATCCTTACCCCAAATACAACTGGAGATGGAGGCCTCCAGTTGCTGAATTCGCTGTGTGGAAGACACTTGGTGCAAGGTTGGGCATCTGCCAGCTTGGAGTTAAGAGTCTGTTCAGGCAGCTTGTTCTCTGCTGTCTGGGGCAGGAAAGCGGGGACAGGGTCTACTATCCCAGACCAGCAGGAGGGCCCTTGAGTGGAGGCCCTCCAGCATCCGTCCACACTGTCAGCTTACCACAGGATAGGGGGCAGGGACCTGTGGCTGAGGATCTGGGGTAAGCAGGGAGTATTTCTGCCCCAGGTCAGACTGTAGCCCTGGACTTCCCAATGCACCAAGAGGTGGAGGTGCAAATACATACACCTGACATCCCTTCACTGTCACACTCAGCACAAAGCTGAACAGTCTTACACATACACTCACCTGTACTGCCTGGCATACAGCTACAGCCACACACACACCAACTCATGCCTGCAGTGTCACGAACACTTCTAGCCAGAGCCCTGATAAGAGTGGCAGAGGCAGGCTGTTTGGAGCCCAAGGCAGTCTGAGGTCAGGGCCCCAGCTGAGCTGTCTCCCTTGCCCATGGGCCTCCCATAATCTACCTCCCACCCCCAGCTTCTTAGACAAGAGGCAGCTGTGTGAGGACAGAATCCAACCGAGGTCTGGCACTGTGGGTGGGGCGACTCAGGCAACATGGTGTGTGGTAACAGCACCACTTTGAAGTCAGGAGGCCTGGGTTCTACTTCCAGCTTTGCCACTCGACCTTGGGCAAGTTTCCTCCTTGGATCTCAGTAGGTTTCTGCCTGTCTTCCTTCTACAGAGCCCCACCCTGGGATCTAGAGAGCATGAGAACTATACTTGTCCTTAGGAAATTGACTGTCAGGGGCAACAGACACATGCACTTCTATAATACAAAGCACTAAGTGCAAAGATAAACTGCATACAATGTTCCTTGAAAACACAAGAATGGGGGTGGTCTGGGAAATACTTCACAAAGATGGACTTTAGCAGGGCTTGAATGATGAGTAGAAATGTTAGGCAAACATATACAAATACATTCTGAATGCTTGTGCTAAGCTCTAGAGTACCTGCCTTCCAAATTTTACCTCTTTTAGACCTCATGCCTATTCTAAGAGGAGGGTGGTCAAAAGGCGCTCTGGCCCTGAAGGAACCTCGAGTGAGTTCTTTACTCTGTTTATGCTTTGGTTTCCTCATCTAGGCGGCCAAGCGTTCATAGTGACATTGCTTTTTGATCCCTTGATGTCATAAAAAATATAAAAAAATAAAATGAGGATAATAGATAAGCATCGTGTAAATGAATATTGGTGTAAAATGTGTAGAATACTGCCTTGAACACAGTTAAGTCATTCCAGGGTGGAGGACTCAGCAGGAAAGTGATGTGAGGGCTCTCTGCTGTCTGTTGAGGATCAGGGTGGGTTCTGGCTGGCTGAGCAGGTGCATCCTTCCTGGCACTAGGAGCTCTACCTTTCCAGGACTGTTTCCTAGTGGGGTGGTGTATAAAGAGCTATATTTTCTCAGCTGGATCCTTTAGACGTTGTGGGCTAGGACTAGGTATAAAAAGTTAATCCATGTTCCAGATTGCCAAGCATTGGGTAGGCTATGGGGGAGTAATGTGAGATGAGGCTGAAAAGGTAGGTTGAGACCACGTCTTTAAGGGCCTTGAATCTCTGCTAAGCAGTGGCTATCTATGGGTGAAGTGGGGCAACATGATTTGCTTTATACTATAGCCAGCTGTGGGGTTGTAGAGCATAGACTAGGATGAGAAGGAAGGCCTGTTGGAAGGCTGGTACAAATGTGCAGGTGAGAGATGACAAGGACTAGGGCCCTGGCAGTGGATGGAGACCGGAGACAGAAAGGTCAGTTTCTTGTAAGTAGGCTGTCCAGCGAGGGAGATTCAAGACTTCTTGCCTCATCAACCTGGTGTATGCTGATGTGTTTTTCTGAGCTGGAGAATACAGACAGGTACAGCAAGCTTGGGGAGACTAATTTAGGGCAGTTGAATTTGAGGTGCAAAGTAACATCTGGGAAAGATGTCTAAGAAACACTTCCTCTCTGGTAAAGTGATGTGAATGGACTAGGTAACTGTTGCAGTTGTCTTCAAACTTTAGATTTTGGTGTGGGTGGTAGGTTGGAGGAGGCCAATGACGTCTGGGGTCTGATGAAGCTATACTTTTGTACTTTCCAGAGAGTTAATGTGAGAAAACAAAGGGCAGCCAGAGATTCCCAGGGTGTTAGAGAAGACAGAGTACAGGATGATTTAGAGTAAACATAATCTTTACTGGGCACTTGGGAGTTAAGATATAGATCTTAAAACCTGGACACAAGTAGTTTTTTTCAAGACAGATCAATCAAATTATTTAATATTTGGGGCTTTTTATTTATACTTCATGTCTAAAAAACTGTTTCTTGCAAGCTACAGGCAAATTTAGTCTGTTTTATAACTGATGTACATTAAATATCTGAGTTTCCTTGAGCAAATGACTTAATCTCTTTTAACCTGTTTCCTGATCTGTAAAATGGGGATAAATGTACTACCTCATATAATTGTTATGAGGATTAAATGAGTTGACATACATAAAGCATTTAGAATAGGTTCTGGCACACATAAGACATAAAGACCTCTATAATTATTATTTACATGGTATTTTATATTTCCAAAGAACTGCTTAGAGGTCCAAGGTAGGTAAGATAGATGCATTTGAAACAAGAAAGATCAAAACCACTTGAGGGCCAAAGCAGCAGGGGAGCATTTCTTGACAGGAACTGATTGGACAATGGGCACCTGGATTACAGGGCTCATTTGTTAGAATCACAGAATCTGTATTTTTAAAAATTAATTAATTTTCCCAATTTTTATTAATTTATTGTTACAGATGTTTCTCCTTTTTTCCCCCTAGACCCCCATCCTCCCCATCCTGCCCCCCCAACTCCTTAGCATTGTGGTCTATGACCATTGGTTATGCATATATGCATATAAGTTATTTGGCTCATCTCATCCATCCCCCTTGCCCCCCTACTCTGAGGTTTGTAAGTCTGAACCATACTCCTGTCTCTGGGTCTATTTCGTTCATCAGCCCACCTTGTTCATTGTATTCCACAAATAAGTGAGTTCATGTGGTATTTGTCTTTCTCTGATTGGCTTATTTTGCTTAGCATAATACTCTTGAGGTCCCTCCATGTTGTCTCAAAGGATAAAAGATTTTTCTTTCTTACAGTTGCATAGTATTCCATTGTATATATGTACCACACAGAATCTGTATTTAAGAGCCTATAGGCTAGAAGGATGGACCAATTCTAACAAGATGATTGACATTTTACAGGAACAAGAGATGTGGTTTAAAAGCACTTGCTGTGGAAAAGCCTTAAGGGTTTTAGTCAAACTCAGCATTTGTCATGAGTATGATGGAGCTGCCCTATATGCTGAGGGAATCTTGACTGCATCAGTTTAGTGCTCAGAAAATACCTGGTATTGCTCCAATACCCATCCCCAAGGGACAGTGACAACTTGGAACCTGGTCAGAAAGAAGTGACCCAAATGAGGAGGGCACTGGAAGCCTTGGCATTCATGGAATAACTGAATGACAAGTTAGTTCTCTTCAAGTGTTTAGAGAACTTATATGGAAAAGAAGTTAGATTTGCCTGATTCTAGAAAGAAGAATCAATTCCAAGTATAAACTGCAGGGAAGGTTTTACCTCAACATTAGAATTTTATGGTAATGAAACAAATAGTAGTGGCTCAGGTGTGTGTTTCCTGTCCTTGAAGGTATGTAAGCAGAGACTAGACATTGACATCTTGGTTATGTTGTCAGGGGATCTAAGTAATGGGCTGCGTGGGGATAGATCAGTGGAGGGAAGGAAGCAGACAAGTGCTGAGATGCGAGAACCTGATATAATCTAGGTCTGTGGCTCCAGTCACGAACCATCCTGGGATCATGGCTGCCCTTCTCACTTTAGGTCATTTCTCTTGCAGGGAAACAAGAGCAGAGGCCAATTCTTTTCAAGAGGAGGCGCACTCTGAATCCCTGGATGATACTCTATGTTTGGAGGGGACCTTGAATTTAGAGGACATTCTCTACCTGGGGGACACAGATGACTTTGATGACACACTGTATGTGGAAGAGACTGAGAAGCCAGAGGAGACACTGTGCGTGGAGGAGCCCGTGAAGCCGGAGGAGACACTGTGCGTGGAGGAGCCCGTGAAGCCGGAGGAGACACTGTGCGTGGAGGAGCCCGTGAAGCCGGAGGAGACACTGTGCGTGGAGGAGCCCGTGAAGCCGGAGGAGACACTGTGCGTGGAGGAGCCCGTGAAGCCGGAGGAGACACTGTGCGTGGAGGAGCCCGTGAAGCCGGAGGAGACACTGTGCGTGGAGGAGCCCGTGAAGCCGGAGGAGACACTGTGCGTGGAGGAGCCCGTGAAGCCGGAGGAGACACTGTGCGTGGAGGAGCCCGTGAAGCCGGAGGAGACACTGTGCGTGGAGGAGCCCGTGAAGCCGGAGGAGACAGTGTGTGTGGAGGAGCCCGTGAAGCCGGAGGAGACAGTGTGTGTGGAAGAGCCCGTGAAGCCGGAGGAGACAGTGTGTGTGGAGGAGCCTGTGAAGCCAGAAAAGACTAGCCCCAAGCAGATGGCTTATGGGGGAGAGATGGTGACAAATGAGGAGAAACCTAACTCTGAGGAGAGCCTCAGAGCTGGGCCTAGTCCCAGCACGGATGACAGCCTGAGCATAGAGGACCTGGAATTGCTTGAGGGGCGTTTCCAGGAATGTGTCCAAGCTGTGGCTCAGCTTGAAGAGGAGAGGGATCAGCTCATCCATGAACTTGTGTTGCTCCGGGAACCAGCTCTCCAGGAGGTGCAACAAGTCCATCAAGACATCCTGGCTGCCTACAAACTGCAAGCTCAAGCAGAGCTGGAGAGGGATGGGCTAAGAGAGGAGATCCGGTTGGTCAAACAGAAGCTGTTCAAGGTGACGAAGGAATGTGTGGCCTACCAATACCAGCTGGAGTGCCGCCAGCAGGACGTGGCCCAGTTTGCTGATTTCCGGGAAGTACTGACTGCACGGGCAGCCCAGCTCTCGGAGGAACTGGCCCAGCTCCGGGATGCCTATCAGAAGCAGAAGGAGCAGTTACAGCAACAACTAGAAGCACCTCCAAGTCAGAGGGATGGGCAATTCCTGCAGGAGAGCCGGAGGCTCTCTGCCCAGTTTGAGAACCTCATGGCAGAGAGCCGCCAGGGCCTGGAGGAGGAGTATGAGCCTCAGCTGCTGCGGCTCCTAGAGAGGAAAGAAGCTGCTGCCAAAGCCCTGCAGAAAACCCAGGCGGAGATCCAGGAGATGAAGGAGGCTCTGAGGCCCCTGCAAGCAGAGGCCCAGCAGCTCCACCTGCTAAACAGGAACCTGGAGGACCAGATCACACTTGTGAGGCAAAAACGCGATGAGGAGTTGCAGCAGTACAAGGTAGGCCCATCTGGCATGAAAGGAATTTCGGTCTTTTAGACTGGGGAAGGAAAAGGCGATGAGAGTCAAGTATCTTTTGGGCTGAAGGACACTGTCTTATATAGGAAGAACAACTTATTCTTTTTTTTTTTAATCCTCACCCGAGAACATTTTTCCAATTTTTTTTGTTCAGATAGAATGGGAAGGAGAGAGGAAGAGAGAGAAACATTAATGTGAAAGGGACACATCGAGTGGCTGCCACCCGCACGACCAACCAGGACTGAGGACAAACTGCAAATGAGGTACATGCCCTTAGTGGGAACTGAACCCGGGTCTCTCTGAACTGCAGGCTGATGCTCTAACCACTGAGCCAAACTGGCCAGGGTGAACAACTTATTCTTTAGGGCCATTCATTATCATCTTTATTTTTTGGTGGTACATGCCCCTAGTGGGAACTGAACCCGGGACTCTCTGGTCCGCGGGCCAACGCTCAACCGCTGAGCCAAACTGGCCAGGGCCATTCTCATGTTTACTGCATTCTTCATTTCACGCAATCAGGCCTGTGCTACGAGCTGAAAATGATCTGAATTCTTAGTTACACTTTTACACCAATTATCTCTCTCTCTCTTTTTTTTAATTTTTTGTTCAGATAGAGTGGGAGGAGAGAGAAACATCGATGTGAAAGGGACACATCAAGTGGTTGCCACCCGCACGACCCAACCAGGGCCGGGGACAAACTGCAACCGAGGTACGTGCCCTTAGTGGGAACCGAACCCGGGTCTCTCTGGACTGCAGGCTGATGCTCTAACCGCTGAGCCAAACTGGCCAGGGCTCATTTGATTCTCTCATTAATCCCCCAAGTCCATATTTTAAAAAAAAGAGTAGTACACCCTGGCCGGTTTGGCTCAGCAGCTAGAGCGTTGGCCTGCGGTCCAGAGACCTGGGTTCAGTTCCCGCTAAGAGCATGTACCTCGGTTGCAGTTTGTCCCCGGCCCTGGTTGGGTTGTGCAGGTGGCAACCACTCTATGTGTCCCTTTCACGTCGATGTTTCTCTTTCTCTCTCCCTCCCACTCTATCTGAACAAAATATGGAAAAAATGTACTCGAGTGAGGATTAAAAAAAAAAAGAGTAGTACATTGATTTTTAGAGAGGACGGAAGGGGGACAGAAACATTGATATGAGAGTGCAACATGGATTGGCTACTTCCTGCACAACCCTCACTAGGGATTGAGCCCCAAAACCCAGGCATGTTCCCTTCACCCCAGCAAATTCCTGGTGCACAGGACAATGCCCAACCAACTGAGCCATACCAACCAGGGCCCCCAAGTCCTTTTCTTTTTTTTTTTTTAAATTGGATTTATTGGGGAACAGATTTAAAGGGTATTATTTGTTTTTATTTTTATTTATTTGTTTTTATCCTCACCCAAGGACATTTTTCCATTTTTTGTTCAGATAGAGTGGGAGGGAGAGAGAGAGAGAGAGAGAGAAACATCGATGTGAAAGGAACACATCGAGTGGTTGCCACCTGCACGACCCAACCAGGGCCGGGGACAAACTGCAACCGAGGTACGTGCCCTTAGCGGAACCGAACCCGGGTCTCTCTGGACCACAGGTCAATGCTCTAACCGCTGAGCCAAATCGGCTAGGGCCAAGTCCTTTTCTTTTATAGGGGAAACTGAGGCTCAGTAAGTCAGAGTAATTTGAACCCTGGTCTGACCAACCCCAATATACGTTTTCTTTCCATGGCACAATTTCCCAATTCTGAGTCATACCTAGGCTTACAGAGAACGAGGAAAACAAGGCACGTGGGAATTCTTTCCCTTCTTCCTATATGCAACCTCAGGTCCCATTTATCTGATCTCTGCCTTGAAATTTTCCAGTCTTAAAACTTGTATGAAATCTATAAATCTCCATTTCTCATTTTCCTTTTTTGTGCATTTGTCACCATTTCACTTACTTTCAAGTTATTTCTGGTTAAGTGTGGGCTGGTTCTAATCCCTTTATGAAACAGTGGGATATAGATATTGGTGAGTAAGCAATGTCTCTCCCACAGGCTGTGAGCTTTTATAAGGTAGGGAGTGTTTTACTTATCTCTGCCACTTGGGCTGAGTTCACATCGGTTAAATGTTGATTTAAGTGCTGCTGGGCACTATGGGAAGACTATAGTGTGGTGCCCCCCCCCCCTTTTTCTTTATTGATTTTAAAGAGAAAAAGGGAGAGGGAGAAAGAAACATCGATGAGAGAGAACATCGACTGGCCGCCTCCTGCATGCCTCACACTGGGGATTGGGCGCATAATTTGGTCATGTGCCCTGATGGGGAATTGAATCAGTGACCTCTTGGTGCATGGGTTCACGCTCAAGCACTGAGTCACAGTTTGTCTTCTGAAACACATTCCTTTGAATACACTTAAACATTCTATTCCCTCTCAAACACTGATACATACTTAAGGGAACATGTCCTTTGTTAAAAATGGTTGCACTCACTTCACTCAATATTATGTCAAGCTTTCTGTAGCTTTTATTATAAAGAGTAGGGTGTTTTGGTCATAACATTGAATGTTTTCAAACTACGCATATGTGTAGTATCCTCAACCCTTCCGTCGCTTTTTTATTGGTTTACAATCTAGTGAAAGGGCACCTATTTTAATAGCTTATACTCAGACATTACGTTAATTGTAACCCAGGGTAGAAAGTAATGTGTGATTTAAGAGAGGTGCAGGTAAGAGTGCTATGGAAGCCTGGCCAGTGTGGCTCAGTGGACTAAGTGTCATCCCATGGACTGAGAAGTCCCAATTAGATTCTGGGTGAGGGCACACGCCTGGGTTTTGGACTCCAGCCCCAGTAAGGGGTGTGCAGGAGGCCGCTGATCCCTGTAGCTCTCTCACTTTGGTGTTTGTTTCTTTCCCTTCCTCTCTCTCTAAAAAATCAATAAAAGCATAAAAAAAAGGGGGGGAGGTGCTATGGAAAAATGAGATTACTTTTAGCCACGGGTTAAATCAGAGAACTCTTCATGGAAAAAGAGTGTGTTATTTGAACTAGGTATCTAGACCAGTGCTGTACAAAAGAAATATAAGGCAAGCTATATATATATAATTTTCTAAAACCCACATTACAAAAGAGAAATAGATGAAGGTAATTTTAATATATTTTATTTAGCCTAATATATCCAAAATATAATTAGTAACTTGGCTGCATGTGAAAGGTGGAAAACTGGAAGGTAAATTAACTGTAAAGGTAGGTTGGGGAAAGATCACATTGGACTTAGAAATCCAAAAATAAGTCCAAACTTTATTTAGTAGTCAGTTGCATCATTAAAGGTATTTAATCAATGATATCCCAATAAATTTAATTAAAAAATAAAAAACATAGAAGTATTTAATATGATTGTCCCTCTATTTTAGAAAAAGTACTGGCTTAAGTGTGTAAAACGGGCTAGAGACCCAGAGGCAAGGGAGATCAATTAGGAAGCTACTGCAGGTAAGAGGAAACAATGATAAGTGGGAATAAAGGAAGAGGATGGATGCAAGAACAAATGTGGAAGAAACTTGGCCATTGACTGAATGGGGCAGAGAGGTGAGAAGTCAGAGAGGATGCTGAGATTTCAGGCAAGGCTAACTAGGATGGTGGTACCGTAAACAGGGAATTCTCTGGATTTGTTTTCTAACACAGTACTAGAGTTGTAGAATTTTTCTCCCCTGTGATTTTCATCACAGGATTTATTTATTTTTATTATTATTATTATTTTTTATCCTCACCTGAGGACATTTTTCCATTTTTTGTTCAGGTAGAGTGGGAGGGAGAGAGAGGAACAGAGAGAGAGAGAGAGAAACATCGATGTGAAAGGAACACATCGAGTGGCTGCCACCCGCACAACCGACCAGGGCCGGGGACAAACTGCAACCGAGGTACGTGCCCTTAGTGGGAACCGAATCCGGGTCTCTCAGGACCGCAGGCCTACGCTCTAACCGCTGAGCAAAACCAGCCAGGGCCATCACAGGATTTATTTTGATTTGTTGATTCTGAAACTTTCCAAAGATCATTCTATGAAAAACACTATTTTTTTTGTGGTACATGCCCCTAGCCGGAACCGAACCCGGGACTCTTTGGTCCGCAGGCCAACGCTCAACCGCTGAGCCAAACTGGTCGGCTGAAAACATTCTTTTTATTTATTTTTATTTTTTTTATTTTTTATCCTCACCCGAGGACATTCTTCCATTTTTTGTACAGATAGAGTGGGAGGGAGAGAGAGGAAGAGAGAGAGAGAAACATGGATGCGAAAGGGGCACATCGAGTGGCTGCCACCCGCACGACCAACCAGGGCCGGGGACAAACTGCAACCGAGGTACATGCCCCTAGAGGGAACCGAACCCGGGTCTCTCCGGACCGCAGGCCAACGCTCTAACCGCTGAGCCAAACTGGCCAGGACTGAAAACATTCTTAATGAGTGTCTCCCAATGCTTTACCATAATTAAAGTAGGAATCAAGGTCTGAAGGAGCTAATCTTTCTGAAATGGCTTCCTAAACTGTTTGCCAAAGGTCATTTATGGCACCTGATTACTTTTCTAAGGTACACTTCACTCTTAAAATTGTAAACACTGCCTCTTTCATCTGTTCATTCAACAGATACTATCTAAGTGCCTACTTACTATGTGCCAGGCAGTGAGCTAGCTATGTGCCGACAAAAGAAATGAAAAATGGGGAGTAGTTCCTGCATTCCAACAGTTTACAGTCCAGGAAGGATACCAGATACAAAAATGAACATATTTCATAAAACTAAGACTTTTTAAAAAAATCCTCACCCGAGGGTATTTTTCCATTGATTTTTTAGATAGACTGGGAGGAGGGGAAGGGAGAGAGAGAGAAACATCAATCGGCTGCCTCCCACACGGGACCAGGATTGAACCCGCAACTGGAGGTTTGTGCTCTTGACCAGGAATTGAACCTGAGACTTTTCAGTCCTTGGGCCAACACTCTAACCACTGAGCCAAAGAGACCAGGGCTAAGACACTTGTTTCTAAGATGCATTCTGATCTGTTCGAATGTCACAAGCCTTTGCCTTGGCTGGTTTGGATCTGTGGTTAGCGTTGGCCCGAGGACCAAGAGTTGATGATTCTGGTCAAGGGCACGTACCTCAGTTGTGTTTCATTCCTAGCCCTGGTCAGGGTCATGTGGGAGGCAGCCAGTCGATGTGTCTCTCTCACACCAATGTTTCGCTCTCTCTTTCTCCCCCTCTATCTGAAGATAAATGGAAAAATATCCTCGGGTGAAGATTAAAAATAAAAAAAGTCAAAGCCTTAGAATCAATGAAATAATAGACTTCAATGTGATAAACACTATAATAGTTATAGGACTAAGGCATTGTACCAGTGAAGCAGGTATAATTACCCCTGCCCTGGAAATTTTGTAAGAGGATTGATTAGTACATGACATATACCTGAAGTTCTTTACATGTGGTAATTCATTTAACCCTCGCTTCTCTGATAGGTATGAATTACTGTCATCATGTAAAGAATGAGAAAGCGGGTGAGACAGAGAAGTCATTTGTCCACGGTTATACAGCTAGGATGTGATGGAAGGCTATAACCCTGTGCAGTCCAGCTCAAGTCCATAGTCAACCATTACAAGGTGTTTGTATAAATTAATTCATGGGGTAGACAAAGAAAGGGCATTCCAAGTAGAGGCAACAGCTTATACAAAAGCATGAAAACACAAACAGATGTTATAGAAAGTGAGGGTGGCTGGATCATAAGGAATGCGAGTAGAGGGATGAGGCTGGAGAGGCAGATGGGGATCAGAATGTAAAGGGACTTATGTAATCTTTGGTAAGCAGTTTTCAAAAAGAGGTTTTCTCCAAAGCCACAGACCCTTTCCACAGAACAGAATTTTATATGGAATTCCAATATATAAAACAGGCAAAGTAGAGCTTTCTAATTAGAGTGGCAACGATATATTTTGGCTTCTTCCTGGTGTTTCACGGGAAATAGTTTAAAGATCACTAAAGAGCCCATGTATATGTAGGCAAAAAAGCATTAAGAATACGAGCTCCAAGCCAATGGCAAGTTCTGGTTCTACCACTTCCTAACTGGAAAACTTTGGATAAATTACTTAGTCCATGCGGCTCTGCTCCCTCACATGTAATATACATCTTAGGACTTTTGCAAGGAATGAACCAGTTAATATTTGTAAAGCATTTGTAATGGTGCCTGGCACATAGGGCATGTACTTTTTAAAAAATGTTACTGATTTTTTTTTTTAGAGAGAGGAAGGTGAGAGAGAGAAATATCAATGAGAGAGAGATACATCAATCAACTGTCTCCTACATGTCCCCGACTGGGGATCAAGCCCGCAAAGTGGGTATGTGCCTGACCAGAAATCGAACTAGGACCTCTCAGTCCATGGGACGATGCTCAATCCACTGAGCCACACTGGCCTGGCACATAGGTATGTACTTTTTTTTCTTTATTGATTTTAGAGAGACAGGAAGGGAGAGGGAGAGAGAAGAAACATAGATGAGAGAGAACACTGATTGGCTGCCTCCTGCAAAACCCCCCACTGGAAATTAGGCCCACAACCTGGGCATGTGGCCTGGCTTGGAACCAAACTGGCAACTTCTTGGTGCAACCACTGAACCACACCAGCCGGGCTAGGTATGTACTCTTATTATCATTTTTTTTAATCCTCACCTGAGAACATTTTTCGGTATTTTGTTCAGATAGAGTGGGAGGGAGAGAGAGAGAGAGAAACATCGATGTGAAAGGGACACATTGAGTGGTTGCCATCCACATGACCCAACCAGGGGACAAACTGCAACTCAGGTATGTGCCCTTAGCAGGAACCGAACCCAGGTCTCTCTGGACCACAGGCTGATGTTCTAACTGCTGAGCCAAACTGGCCAGGGCTAGGTATATACTCTTAAGTGGAAGTGTGGTAGGTGGATTAAAAAAGCCCGAAAGAGCCCTGGCCAGTTTGGCTCAGCGGCGTTGGCCCATGGACCAGAGAGTCCCAGGTTCAGTTCCTGCTAGGAGCGTGTACCTCGGTTGCAGTTTGTCCCTGGCCTTGGCTGGGGTTGTGCAGGTGGCGACCACTTGATGTGTCTCTCTCATGTCGATGTTTCTCTCTCTCTCTTCCCCGCCCTCTCCTTCCCACTCTGTCTGAAAAAAAAAAAAAGAAAAAGCCTGAAAGACAACTTAGACCTTATGGGGGAGACATAATGTGAGATATGTGTAGTAAAATGGGTAAGACTTAGTAACTGGCTACAGTGGGTGCGGTGAAGAATTTGCTGAGAATGATCTGTTTTTAACTGGAAATTGGTAGGTTACTAACACTGAAATATAGAATATGCTTACTATCTACAAGTTTCACATCAACAAGCATTATGTGTAGGGTGCTAAGAACCAGGAACCTACAATCTGATAGGGAGTTAGACACAAATTTAAAAGATAAATAGCAAAATCAACAGATGCTGTCTAAGTGACACAAGTGGCAGGAGCAAAGGCAGAGATCTGAGTTGGTCAGGCTACAGCAGCACTGTCAAATACAAGTCTCACGTAAGACACAGATGCCATTTAAAATTTCTAGTGCCCACACTTAAAAATGCAAAAAAAACCAGGAGAAAATTAATATTTTATGTAACCCAGCATATAAAAATATTATAATTTCAACATGTAATCGATATCAAAATTTGAGGCACAGTCATCCCTTGCCACTTCGCGCTTTGACATTCGAGGCTTCGCTCTATTGTGGTTTTTCAAATATTTGAAAAAACTTTGACAGAGTGAAGCCGTGAACGTCAAGCACGAAGTGGCGAGGTACGGCTGTATAAATAAAAAATCCTACTTTGTGGTAATTCATTTATCACAGTAGAGTCTGGAACTGATTAACTGCGATAAATGAGGGCCGACTGTATTTTATTTTTGTGTCAAGTCTTATACTTATAGCACATTTCAATTTGGACAAACCATACTCAATAGCAACATGCGGCTAGTGACTTCCATATCAGACAGTGCAAGCTAGGGAAAAATATTCATATGAAAGAGTAATGGAGGTTCTAGTTAGAGGTACGGATCAAACTGGAAGGCATCTGAAGGCCAGACTAAAGAAAGTGGGAAGCTTCTGAAAGAATGACATAAAGCAGTTTTTAGAAAGTTAATCTAGTGGTGCTCCATAGGATTAAGACTGGAGATTGCTTTCTTCCCCTCTTAAACCTTGTCAAAACAAGGCCACCAAAAATTAGGTTGCCTCCCCCCAAAAATGGGAGAGAGAGGATGGAGATTGTTCTTAATGTCAGTCACTGTAGCAATACATCCTTCACTCTGAGACACTGTTCCTATTAGAGCACTGATGGTGCACACTGCCTTCTCAAGCATGTACTCCCCCACCCCTTATTGATTCTAGAGACGGGAAGGGAGAAGGAGAGAAAGAAACATTGATTGGCTGCCTCCTGCATGCCCACACTGGGGATTTGTCCCACAACCTGGGCATGTGCCCTAACCAGGAATCAAACTGGCGTCCTCTTGGTGCACTGGTCAACGCTCAACCACTGAGCCACACCAGCCAGGCTCAAGCATGTACATTTCGTGCCTCGTCAAAAACAGGTTTGCTAGTGGGATTTGGGAAATCGGGTCACAGAGGTATGCAGATGCTTCCTTCAGATGACACACTTACATGTTAAGGCTGAATCTCTGTGTGGTGCCAAAGCATGGCTGGGTACTAAAAAAGGCCTTTTGATAATGTTTATGTAAGCTGAGATTCAGCCAGAGTATCAACCATTGCAGATTGATGTGCCACAGGTATATCAAGAATGACTCAGAGAACAAATTATTTAGATCCTTCTAATAATAGCATGTACCAAAACGGGATTCCTAACTTACTGTTCTTCCAAATTTGAGAAGTCATTGCCCCTTTTAAAATGTCTTCGAATTTCAACTTTTTCCTAACTCCTTCATGATTCCTAAGGATCCGTGCCAGCTAGCAACTAACACCAGAGTGATTTGCTGACATCCTCCTTACCTCATTCCTCAGGCATTAACCTGAGGAATGCATCCTGCCTGGTGTTGGCAGAATAGGAAACAAAGAGTTATCTGAAAGTTCCTGAGGGCCCCCAGAGTATAGCATCTTTTTCCAACTTAATATTTTTAAACTAATTCAGTCTTAATGGAGACAAACTTGCACATAGAGCAACAGGTCTATAAAATTCTCAGCTCACCAAGTAGAGGATCAAAATCCTCCCCAACAATTCTTAAAATTGTGAAAACAGAAGTCACTCTTAGTACCTGTCTGCCCATTGCAGAGTTCTATTAAGAAGCTGTGGTTAACAGACAAGACTCCTTTCAGGTCACCATCTTCAAATGGAGTATCACTTTATTAAACACAACCTCTTGAATCTGTTTCAACCTCAATACTTCTATGAAGATTAAACAATATACAAGAAAGTGCCTTGTAAACTATAATGGACAATGTAAAATTTTTATGGTTTGGCTCATAAGATATACTCTTGGCTCTCTTCATGCAGGAAGAGATGGAGAAAATGGAGGAACGACAGAGGCAGTTAAGAAGTGGGGTGCAACTACAGCAACAGAAGAACAAAGAGATGGAGCAGTTAAGGATCAGCCTTGCTGAAGAGCTCTCAACTTACAAGTTAGTTTTTGTTACTACCTAAATCTCAACTAACACTGGCTGAAAGGATTGTGGTGGTGGGGGGTAGATGTTGCTCAAGGGAAATTTCACTGAACAGTGGGGAAAAAAATGATCTGGGAAATAATTTCATCTATTGACAGATGGAAAATGGCTTTTTTTCCCTTCTTCTTAAAGGGCTAAGTTACCTAAGAGCCCGGAACAGGCTAATGCTCCCACTTCTCAGGCAGGTGGAATCGAGACACAGTCTCAAGGTGATCCTTGTGGTTACAAGAGTGGTGTTTGCATTGTTGCTTTCTTAACAATACTAATGACTTAAAAGCTGAAAAGTGTGTTGTTTACAGGTTGAAGGACAGGATTATTGCTTAGTATGTGAAACAAGAAACACACCCATCCATTAATTTCTCTATATACCTATATGCTCTCATTCTTCAAGTTTTAGATTCTCTTGGATAAAAAAGGTCTGTCAAGTGTATATTAGATGCCCATACATTTATTTTACTTCTAATTTCCTAGTTAATCTTACAGCTTGGATACAAATTCACAAATAACTACTGTAACTGACACTTTTCCTAACTTACTAGGATTTTCTTTTACTGTGTTTTATCCAGGCATAACTGATTACGCTTATTGTTTGGGAGATTACTAGAAACTTGTAGTTGAGGAAAATGATCTACCAAACACCTTTGTGTGGATCAGATTAAAAGTACAATAGGGAAAAAGCAATGATTAACTCAAAGAAACAAAACTACAGAATTTCAGTCACTGTAATACCTATGTAAACTTAACCTGAAAAGAGAAAAATTTTAGCTACCTCCTCCCATCACATAGATTACCATTCATTATTTTGCAATAAGAGGCACTTAAATATTTGCTAGGGGAAAGTCATCTCTGGTATTATGTGAGTCACAGTCTAGCAAGCTCTTCCCAACATAGCCTGCACTAAATTTCAGAAGCGCACTGTTATAAACTTTATACTGTATTATTTCAAGTTGCAGAAAGTATAAACTTATTCTTTTTTCTTTCAACCTTACAGGGGCTGTTTAGAAACGTATGGCCGAATCTGTAACCCAGAAACAACCAAAAAAACTTTTTAGCAAAGGATCACTAAGTACCCTTTGGACATACTTTTTTCCAAACAGAGAAGAAAATGCCAGGGACTTACAAGCAATACACCCTGGGAAAGTTACAAATACTGGCTGACCTGTTTAAAAAGATTCTAGGACTGGCTGGAGGCAGAACACATCAGTCAGTTCTTAGCTGGATTCTATTTCTTAGGCTACTGGTACTGATTTCAATGCACGGAGAAACTGAAAAAACGAGCCTCTTCTCCTCCAGCAGCAACATGCACATTGAGTAAAGGATGAATGTACACACACCTGCCATCTCGTGCAGAATGTATCTTGCCTTGTGTTGACCTAAACCAAAAACATTTTTTTGGAGCACAGGTGGGGTCAAAAGGCAGCCAATTTTCATTATATGGGTTTGCAATTTGAATTCTTTTGTGCCACAAGTGATGGACTTTAAACAAATCCTTTCACAAAGTTTACTTTTCTTTAAGTCTACACTGATACATAGTTTACTCTTAATTGTGTCACAATAACTTTCACTATACTCGAAAAGAACTATTGACTTGGAAAAGGGAACAAATCCAGATTTGAATCTAAAGGTTAAAGATAAGCAAATTTCTCTAAAGATCATACCTTATGAAAATGATTTTTGATCAGAGTGATCTATTCAACGGAGTGACTGCAAAGAATCAGGCATTTTACCTGGTTATGGCACTTGGCTATAAAGGCTTTCAAAAGCCTATCATTTCTAACCTCTAGGTACAGGTCCCAGTGAAAAACATACTGGGGAGATTCAACCTCTCTTAAGAAAAGGATTGAACACCTTTGCCAAATTTAAATTTTGCCTTAAAATCTTTCTGCCACACTGCCTTTTACATTCTTACAAATCCATGCAGTTCTCTAGGGATACACTTCAAAAAGATGTTATTGTATCAAAGACTAATCTGTGCACCTATGATTCTGTGTTTTATACCTTTCTCTTTCCCTGGAAAGGAGTAAAGCTCTTTTCTACAGTTCTGGGTCTATTATAATTCTGCTCTTGATAAGTCAAAGACCATAGAAAATAACTGTCATCTGAAGAATTTTTCTAGAAGCCAGAGAATGGTGTTTGATAGATATTATATGCTAAATAAAGCCCATCCGCATGGGGTTATGTAGAAAAGCAATTTATTCCATTATAAGCACTTACACAGTTAGTCATGGAGAGTAACAGGCCTGCTGGTGAAACAGGTCACCCAAAACAGAGATGGTATCAAACTAGTGGTCAAGGACTAACTCCTAAAAAAAAAAAGCAACTCTTATCCAGGATTAATTTAATATTAAAAACAAATACAAGCTATTGATTCACTCTTCTCAACTTAACTGGACAGTTTACCTGTGGTATAACTGTCAGGTAAAAACATACATCTTTACAACTTGGTGGTCCCAAGTTTTTTTTAAAAACCATTTCACAGAAAGGAAAGAAATAATATGGAAACAGCTCAAGAAATACACTAATAAGCAAAAATATATGGAAAAGAGGAACACGTAGTTTTGTCTTAACTCAAGAAACTGAGAGGAGACTGGTCTACATAGGAAATGTGCATCTTGAAAAGTCAGGTGTGAAGATTTCAGAGTAGGAATTCATACGACTTGAATCTCCCCTAATTCCTGAAAAAAAAAAATGACATCTTGCAGTACTTATACTTCATGGCTCCCATACCTACCTCACTTGGCTCTATTCCTTACTTCTAGCCTTTACTTAAATGAGCCTGAAGAACTTGGGGATAGAGCATAAGAAGAAAAATAAAATAACCATACACAGTATTCGCCTTTTGGTGGCTACTTTAGATCTTTGTTACTAGAAAATTCCTGAAGAAAATTTAAATATAAGTCTGTGGCTTTGCTGAATCAAGTCCCCAGTTAATATTTAGAAAACACCCTTGGTTTGGGCTAATAGCATTGTTGATGGTACCTATTATAGAGGGATAGCGGAACAAAGTCTGTGTCTCAAAACCAGTGTTAAATCAATATCAGGGTTGAAAGGGAAAAAAGGGCAGTCTAAAATTACAAGTGCAGACGAATCTAAGATCCCTGTCCTTCTGGATCCACACTTCCTTCAGGGTCTTCATCATTATAAATGTTCTCTGCCTGCCCAAAAACAAGGAGAGAAAAGGGTATTTAGTAAACATGAAGGCAAATTCTTAAAGTTAAGGTTTCAAAAATAGATTAGACCAGGTAAAAAGTTATGGTCATATAGTCTCTGTTGCAACCATTCAATCACACAGTTCTTGGATGAAAGCAGCCTGGGCAATCTACAAATGAATGAGTATGTCTTTGTTCCAATAAAAACAGACAGCTGGCCCACAGGTCAACACCACCAATCAGGACATTCCCACAAAATTGAAGTATGGTTACTGAAAGTACTGATAATTAACCTTCTTGGGCCCTTCAGCCAGATGTTATTCATAATAGTCCAAAAGTAAAAAAAAGCCTTGGCCAGTTTGGCTCAGCAGCTAGACCATCAGCCCTCGGACTGAAGGATCACAGGTCTCATCTCTGGTACTGGTTGGGGTCCTGCAGGAGGCAATCAATAGATAGTCTTTCTCACATCAATGTCTATTTGTTTCTCTCTCACCGCCCCCCACTTCTCTTCTTTTTTTTTTTTGGTAGTACGTGCCCCTAGCAGAAACTGAACCCAGGACTCTCTGGTCCGCAGGTCGATGTTCAACTGCTTTGGCAAACTGGCCCGGGCCCCTTTCACTTTTTCTTTTTCTTTTTTTTTATCCTCACCCGAGGACATTTTTCCATTTTTTGTTCAGGTAGAGTGGGAGGGAGAGAGAGAAACAGAGAGAGAGAGAGAAACATCGATGTGAAAGGAACACATCGAGTGGCTGCCACCCACACGACCGACCAGGGCCAGGGACAAACCGCAACCGAGGTACGTGCCCTTAGCGGAAAATGAACCCGGGTCTCTCAGGACCGCAGGCTGACGCTCTAACCGCTGAACCAAACCGGCCAGGGCCCCTTCCACTTTTTCTAAAAATTAATGGGAAAGTGTCCTTGGCTGTGGATTAACAACAAAAAAAGTGAAACAGCCCTGGCTCGTGTGGCTCAGTTGGCTGAGTGTTGTCCTGTGCACTGAGAGGCTGCCAGTTAAATTCCAGTCAGGGCACATGTCCAGGTTGCAGGCCCAACCCTTAGTATGGGGCACACAGGAGGCAGCCAATCGATGTTTCTCATTTCTTTTCCCTTCCTCTCTCTCTCAAATCAATTTTTAAAAGGATAAAAACAATACAAATGTCCATAGACTGATGAATGGATAAATAAAATGATATATATCCATATAATGAAATATTATTTGGCAATAAAAAAGAAGCCAGTCACTTATTGTATGATTTTATTATTATTTTTAAATGTCCAGAATAGGCAAATCATACAGGAAGTAGATTGGTGGATGTCTAGTGCTGGGTGGATTGGAGGAAAATGGGAAGCAATGGCTAATGGATATGGGTGATTACGGGGTTTCTTTCTGGCATAACTGACCGGGGTAATGGTTGCATAATTCTGTGAATATATTTCAAAAATCACTGAATTATGTATTTAAAAAAAGAGAAACCCCACCCCACCAAAACTATGTTCCAAATCTCAATTTGTGTGTGTGTGTGTGTGTGTGTGTATATATATATATATCCTCACTAGAGGACATTTTTGCATTTATCTTCAGATAGAGCAGGAGGGAGAGAGGGAGAAGAGAGAGAGACACATTGATGTGAGAGAAACACATCGAATGCTTGCCACCCACACGACCCTAATCAGGGGCAGGGACAAACTGCAACTGAGGTACACGCCCTTAGCGAAAACCGAACCCAGGACTCTCTGGTCCATGGGCCGACGCTCTAACCGCTGAGCCAATCTGGCCAGGCAATTTGTAATTTTTAAATGAAAATTGCTCTTGTATAAAACTGTACTACTATTTCTTTAATTTTTTTTTATTCCCCCACCTGAGGATATTTTTCTACTTATTATCAGATAGAGTAGGAGGGAGGGAGAGACAGAGAGAAACATCGATGTGACAAGCCACATCGACCAGGGCCAGGGGACAAACTGTAATAGAGGTATGTGCCTTTACCAAAATTGAACTCGCGACCCATTGGTCCGCAGGCCAACTACTGAACCAAACCAGCCAGGGTCTACTTCTATTTCTTGATGAAATACCTCCAAAGGCATAATGTTAAATACAGAAACCACTTTCATTCAGGCAAAATTTATTGTTCTTAGTTTAGCACCTCTTATGCACAAATTACTAGGCTAGGCGCTATTAAGATAGCCTTGTCTTCAAAGAGTTTGTGATCTGAATGCAGAGAAATGTATACAATTGGGCGACGTTTTTTAACAATGAATGTTTAAGGGATGTAACTAAGGGCTCAGTCCCACAAGTCTGTCCTCACTTCAGAGGCCAGTGACAAGCTCTGAGTGCCCAGGCTGAGTACTTCTGTCCAGCTTATTGGCTATAAATTTGGGGATTAGCACAACCCCCTACTCAGGTTTGATAATTTGCTGGAAAGACTCACCGAGTTCAGGCAAGTGCTTTATTTACTATTACTGGTTTATTATAAAGGCTAGAACTCAGGAACAGACACATGGAAGAGATGCAGAAGGCAAGGTGAGGAAGGGGCATGGAGCTTTGTATTCTCTGGGTGGCATCAATATATTCATCAATTTGGAAGGTCATCAGATCAAGAGCTTTTTATAGGGCTTTTCCAAGAGTTTTTATAGAGCTCAATCCTCCATCTGTGGGTTAATAGAACTGAAAGTTCCAACTCTCTAATCAAATGTTGGGTCTTTCTGGAGACCAGCCCCATCCTGAGGCTCTATCTAGGGAGTCCCTTAGTCATTTCTTTAGTCTAAACTCAGGTGTGCCCAACAGGGACTCCTTATAAATAGCAAGAGACTCCTTTTAATAACTATGTATGGTGTTGGATAGGTACTAGACTTACTGGGTGATTCTTAGGTCAGCAATTTTCAACCTTTTCCATCTCATGGCACACATAAGCTAATTACTAAAATTCTGCGGCACATCAAGAAATATATTTTTTGCCAATCTAACAACAAAAAATTTTTTTTGATTCATTCACACTGGATGGCTGTCATTAAAAACAAACAAACAAAAAACAGCCCTGACCGGTTTTGCTCAGTGGTTAGAGCATCGGCCTGCGGTCCAGAGAGACCCGGGTTCAGTTCCCGCTAAGGACATGTATCTTGGTTGCAGTTTGTCCCCGGCCCTGGTTGGGTCGTGTGGGTGGTAGCCACTCGAGGAGTACCTTTCATGTCGATGTTTCTCTCTCTCTTTCTCTCTCCCTCCCACTCTATGTGAACAAAAAATAAAAAAGTGTCCTTGGGTGAGGAAAAAAACAACAACAACAATCTAAGGGAAAAGAGGTCAATGTTCCCTGACTAAATAGTCAAGTACTGCATGTCTGAAAAATTCTTGTGGCAGCCCTGGCTGGTTTGGTTCAGCGGTTAGAGTATCGGCCCATGGATCAATGAGTAATGGGCTCAATTCCAGTCAAGGGCATGTATCTCGGTTGAGGTTCATCCCCGGCCCTGGTCAGGTTGTGTGGGAGGCAGCCACTCAATGTATCCCCTTCATGTCACTGTTTCTCTCTCTCTTCCCCCCACTCTATCTGAATAAAAATGGAAAAATGTACTCGGGTGAAGATAAAAAAAAATTCTTGTGGCCCACTGGCTGAATATCACTGTCTTCAGTTACATAAATGTCTAATCAGTATGTTGTATACCTAAAACTAATATAATATTGTATGTCAACTATAATTGAAGCATTTTTATTATTATTTTAAAAATATTTTTTTCTTTATTGATTTCAGAGAGAGAGGAAGGCAGAGACATTGATCAGAGAGAATATCGACTGGCCGCCTCCTGCATGCTCCCCACTGGGGATTTGTCCCACAACCCGGGCATGTGCCCTGACAGGGAATCAAACTGGTGACCTCTAGGTGCATGGGTTGACGCTCAACCATTGAGCTCACTGGCTAGGCCATTTTTAAGTTTTGAAATCCTCACCTGAGGATATTTTCCCATTAATTTTAAGATAGAGTGAGAGGGATGGTGTGTGTGAGAGAGAGAGAGAGAGAGAGAGAGAGAGAGAGAGAGAGAGACATCAATGTGAGAGAGACACATTGATTTGTTGCCTTCTGCACAACCCTAACCAGGGTGGAGGAATCGAACTGCAAAGGAGGTATATGCCCACCGGAATTGATCCCGTGATTCTTTCGTCCACAAGCCAATGCTTTAACTACTGAGCCAAACTGGCCAGGGCTTGAAACATTTTTTAAGTTATTATTATTTTTTATCCTCATCTGAGGACATTTTTTTTTTTTGCATTTATCCTCAGATAGAGTGGGAAGGAGGAAGGGAGAGAGAAACATCAATGGAAACAGATATACCAAGTGGTTGCCATCCACACAACCCCAGTGGGGCTGGGGACAAACTGCAACTGAGGTACATGCCCTTAGCAGGAACCAAACCCAGGACTCTCTGGTCTACAGGCTGACACTCTAACGCTGAGCCAAACCAACCAGGGCTTTAAGTTATTTCTTTAAAAAATAGCATGAGAGTCCTGGCCGGTTTGGCTCAGTGGTTAAGTGTATCCACCCTTGGACCAATGAGTCACGGGTTTGATTTGGTCAAGGGGCACGTACGTTTCAGTTCATCCACAGCCCTGATCAGGGTCGTGTGGGAGGCAGCCAGCAGATGTGTCTCTCTCACACGATGTTTCTCTCTCTCTCTCTCCCCTTCCCTCCCACTCTACCTGAAGATAAACAGAAAAATACCCTCAGTGAGGATTTAAAAAAAAAAACTGAGTAAAGTAACAACATGGCCTGGAATTGATGACCTTGAAGGTAATGGAGTTCAACATCCTACAATGTTCCCATGGCAACTACTAAAATACTTTAAATTGAAAGATTATCCCAGGCAGCCCATTTTACCTTCCTGTTAGAATTCTTAACTTTTTATATTAATATTCTGTGGGTGAGGTGGATTTTCCATTTACACATGTATCACATTCTTGAAGGATATAAAGAAATCAAGAACTCCCTAAATGTACCAACCATATTTTGGCAAACAGACTTCTAAATTAATACTTACAAGTATTTAAACATAAAACCACACACGCATACTTTAAATATGAAGGATTCTACCCATGCTGTTCTGCAACCTGCTTTTTCTTTTGTAAAAGCATTTTATTTTTTAATATGTTTTTATTGATTTTTTTTTTTAGACAGAGGAAGGAAGAGAGATAAAACATTAATGTGAGAGAGAAATATCAACCAGCTGCCTCCTGTACACCTCTCACTGGGAATCAAGCAACCCAGGCATGTACCCTGACGAGGAATCAAACCAGGAACTCTCAGTCCATGGGATGATGCTCAATCCATTGAGACACACTGTCTGGGATGCAACCTGCATTTTCTCTACTTAATAGCATGTCATTCCAAAGTATGGATGTAGTATATAATTTGTTAATCTCATAGGACACAAATACTCTCATTAATAGTGCTATTCTACAGGCAAATTTTAAAACATTTTTCCTATGTTGAGCCAAAACTCTCCCCTGGCGTTTAATCCTGGCTCTGGCTCTAGCTCTACCCCAAGACACCAAAAGTTTCTTTGGAATTCTTTTCATTTATCAGGGTAGCATCAATTGAAAAAGTATGCAATAGTGTGTGTGTGTGTTTTTTTTAAATCCTCACTTTACATTTTTCATTTTTTTGCTCAGGTAGAGTAGGAGAGAGAGAGAGAGAAGAAGAGAGAGAGAAACATCGATGTGAAAGGAACACATCGAGTGGCTGCCACCCACATGATCAACCAGGGCCGGGGACAAACTGCAACCGAGGTACGCGCCCTTAGCGGGAACTGAACCCGGGTCTCTCTGGGCTGGTGCTCTAACTACTGAGCAAAACCGGCCAGGGGCAATAGTGTGGTTTTTTTTAACTGTGGTAAAATACAAACATAAAATTTCCCATCTTAACCATTTTTAAGTATACAACCCAGAGGCATTAAGTCCATTCACCTGTGTGCAACTGTAACCACCATTCATATCCAGAATACAACTATTTTCTTTCAATATACCAGAGATTACAGTTATCTCTATTAAATTTCAAGCACTCTTAAAATTTTGAAGAAAGGCAATAATATCTACTTGGAGTATAAAGGCAAGGAATGTTCCTGAAATCTAGTAAAGTTTCAGGCAGAAACGGTAGTATTTGATACTGATACATTGTCGTAGGAACTGTTCATAGATTATTTCAAGGAAATGACTATTCCTAGATATTCAACTACTACAAGTGGGAGAAACAGGAGGCAAGCCAACAATTAGGAGGCTACTGCAATAGTCCAGCAAGTGGTAATGAGAACCCGAGCAAAAAACTAGAGTGTGGAATAGACAGGAACGTTGGATATGTATGTTTATATTTGTAAGATGAGTGCAGATTAGAGAAACATCACAGAAATAGACAACATCAAATCTGATAAGTGAACCAGGTGTAAAGGTGAACAGATAGTGGAGGAAAACTCTTGATTTTTTTTTTTTTTTTTTTATCCTCACCCAAGGATATTTTTCCATTTTTTGTACAGATAGAGTGGGAGGGAGAAAGAGGAAGGGAGAGAGAGAGAGAAATATCGACGTGAAGGGACACATCGAGTGGCTGCCACCCGCACGACCAACCAGAGCCGGGGACAAACTGCAACCGAAGTATGTGCCCTTAGCGGGAACTGAACCCGGGTCTCTTCGGACCGCAGGCCGACGCTCTAACCGCTGAGCCAAACTGGCCAGGGCTTGATTTTTTTTTTTGGTACATGCCCCTAGCAGGAACCGAACCTGGGACTCTGGTCTGCAGGCCAATGCTCATACCACCGAGCCAAACCAGCCAGGGCAAAAATTCTTGAATTGTTAAGTGTGGTGGATGGGGAAACACTAGAGCCATATAAAAAACAGCAAAGTCAGAAAGAAAGGGGAGTAGGGTGAATAGGAAAAGAAGGAATTTCAGTTTAGTTGTATCTCAGATATCAGTGGAATAACCAGATAAAGGTAAAGAGCAGGTAGTTGAAAATGACATTGAAAATGAAAATGATGTGATAATGTACAGGCAAGCACTAAAGTCAAACTAAGGAGTACACTAAACAGAGATGCCAGTTGTATTCATGAAATATATAAATAGGAAAAGATACTATACCTCCTTTATTTAACCTCCTCAAAATGACTAAATACATACCATTTGCCACACCTGCATGATATTGTCTTCTGACACAGAACAGATCACCCAAGGTTCATTGGGATTCCAGGAGAAATCAGATATCTTGGCAGTGTGACCACCATGAATAAACTGAAGGAAGGAAGGAAAACAAGATATAAAAAGCAAATAGAGAATACCAAATTACAGATGATTTCAACCGCTCAATGTTTGTAACATACCAACAACTCCGGTGGCCCATCTTCTGCATCTTCCGGGGATTGTTCCTCTCCAATTTTACTAGCACAAAAATATTTTTAAAAGTTAAAACAGATTTATCCTGAGTAACTAATTTTGGAAAGTACAAATAAAGAAAACAATTCCACAAAAATTCCACTTACCTTAAATCCCAGACATTCAGTCTACGATCAGTACCGCTGGAAGCCAAAATAGTCTCATTGTGAGGCGACCACTGAACCTACACAGAAGAATGAAGAAAACAGAAAAATGTCGCCTTTTATTTGATCTTACATTTTTGAGGCTTTATTTATTCTTGTGAAATTCTGGTGTCTAGCCAAATGAAATCAAATTCTGACCTAAGAACTATAGTATAGATCACACACAGTATTTCCCAAATACTTATTATGAATTCAGTATTATACATAAGATCGATTAAAAATGGCTCCTTACAATTTTATTTTATTTTTTATCACCAACCGAGGACATTTTTTTGCATTTATCTTCTGATAGAGTGGGAGGGAGAGAGGGAGGAAGAGAGAGAAACATTGATGTGAGAGAGAAACTTTGAGTGGTTGCCACCCACACGACCCCAACCGGGGCCAGGAACAAACTGCAACCATGATATGTGCCCTTAGCAGAAACCGAACCTGGGATGCTCTGGTCCGCAGGCCGACGCTCTAACCACTGAACCAAACTGGCCAGGGCAATTTTTTATTTTAGGTCTTCTTTATTTTAATTTTATTTTTTTATCCTCACCCGAGGACATTTTTGCATGTATCTTCAGACAGAGTGAGAGTGAGAGAGGGGAGAAGAGAGAGAGAGAGAAACATCGATGTAAGAGACACATCGAGTGGTTGCCACCCACACAACCCCAATCAGGGCCAGGGACAAACTGCAACCAAGGTAATATGCCCTTAGCAGAAACTGAACCCAGGATCTTCTGGTCCCCAGGTTGATGCTCTCAGCGCTGAGCCAAACTGGCCAGGGCCAATTTTTTTTTAAATCCTCACCCAAGGACATTCTTCCATTTCTTGTTCAGATAGAATGGGAGGGAGAGAGAGGAAGAGAGGAAGAGAAGGAGAGAGGGAGGGAGGGAGGGAGGGAGAGAGAGAGAGAGAGAGAGAGAGAGAGAGAGAGAGAGAGAGAAACATGGACGTGAAAGGGACACATCAAGTGGTTGCCACCCGCACGACCCAACCAGGGGTGGGGACAAACTGCAACCGAGGTACATGCCCTTAGTGGGAACGGAACCTGGGTCTCTCTGGACCGCAGGCCGACGCTCTAACCCCTGAGCAAAACCAGCCAGGGCCAATTTTTTATTTTTTAAAATTTATTCACTTAACCATTTTTTTTTTATTGGTTTTTAGAAAGAAAGGAAGAGGGGGAGAGAGATAGAAACATCGATGAGAGAAAACACTGACTGCCTTCCTCCTGCATGGTCCCCACTGGGGAATCAAACTGGCGACCTCTTGGTGCATGGGTCGACGTTCAACCACTGAGCCACACCAGCCGGGCTCCTTATAATTTTATTAAAGTTAGCTACTACAATCATATAATTGTTAAAAATGTTTGGTAAGAAGCTGCCATCAACAAATCATCAACAAATGCTGGTGAGGGTGCGGAGAAAAGGGGATTCTAGCATAACACTGGTGGGAATGCAGACTTGTGCAGCCACTATGGAAAACAATATGGTGTTTCCTCAAAAAATTAAAAATTGAACTGCCATTTGACCCAGTGATTCCACTTCTAGGAATATAGCCTAAGAAGTTTGAAACACCAATTAGAAAGAATATATGTACCTCTATGTTCATAGCAGCACTATTTACAATTGATAAGATCTGGAAACAGTCGAAATATCCATCAACAGATGAATAGATAAAAAAGCTGTGGTGTGCCCTGGCCAGTTTGGCTCAGCAGTTAGAGCTTTGGCCTGTGGTCTGGAGAGACCCAGGTTCGGTTCCCGCTAAGGGCACGTACCTCAGTTGCAGTTTGTCCCCGGCCTGGTTGGGTCGTGTGGGTGGCAACCACTCGATGTGTCCCTTTCACGTTGATGGTTCCCCCCCCCCATCTGAACAAAATAGCTGTGGTGCATATACACAATGAAACACTATTCAGCTGTAAGAAAAAAAGATCTCTTATCTTTTGAGATGACATGGAGGGACCTCAAGAGTACTATGCTAAGCAAAACAAGCCAATCAGAGAAAGACAAATACCAAATGATCTCACTATTTTTGGAATATAATGAACAAAAAAAGCTGATGAACAATATAGACCCAGAGACACAGAAAGGAGTACGGTTCAGAATGACAAACTTCAGAGGTGGGGACAGGTGGGAGGGATAAAATAAATCAAAGAACTTATATGCATAACCAATGAACATAGACAACAATGCTTGGCTGCATGGCGGTGGCTGGGGGTGGGACAGGGAGGAGGGTGTCTGGGGGGAAAAAAGAGAAACATCTGTAACAAAAATAAATAAATAAATAAGTAAACGTTTTATTTTTATTTTTTTATCCTCACCCGAGGGCATTTTTCCATTTTTTTTTTTGTACAGATAGAGTGGGAGGGAGAGAGAGAGAGAAACATCGACGTGAAAGGGACACATCGAGTGGCTGCCACCCGCACGACCAACCAGGGCCGGGGACAAACTGCAACCGAAGTACGTGCCCTTAGCGGGAACTGAACCCGGGTCTCTCCAGACCGCAGGCCGACGCTCTAACCGCTGAGCCAAACCGGCCAGGGCTAAGTAAACGTTTTATAACAGAGTGCTAGCTTCATGGTACAAATAAGAGAGCATAAGCAACAAGTCTTTAGGAAAGAATTTGGATACCCTCCAGGCACCACCACCATTATAAGCAAGGAGAAAGAGATAGGGTGAAGACAAAATGTTCCTTGGAGCAAACTGAAGAAAACTGGAGAAAATAAGGTTGAGACTAAGTGTGTAAGAATATGGCTCACATAGAGCTGCGTTTGAACAACACATTCATACACCAAAGTTAATTCTGACCACCCTTAGGGTCTTAACACTAGACATAACAATGTTTTGTTTTTTTGTTTTTTTTTCTTTTTTATCCTCACCCGAGGATATTTTTCCATTTTTTGTACAGATAGAGAGGGAGGGAGAGAGAGGAAGGGAGAGAGAGAGAGAAACATCGAAGTGAAGGGACACATCGAGTGGCTGCCACCCGCATGACCAACCAGGGCCGGGGACAAACTGCAACCGAAGTACGCGCCCTTAGCGGGAACCGAACCCGGGTCTCTCCAGACCGCAGGCCGACGCTCTAACCGCTGAGCCAAACTGGCCAGGACACAATCTTTTGTTTTAATGTTGTTGTTTGTTTGTTTGTTTTTACTGATTTTAGAGGAGAGAGAGATAGAGAAACATTGATCAGCAGCCTCCTGCACATCTTTTACTGGGGATTAAACCTGAAACTCGGGCATGTGCCCTGACTGGGAATCGAACCCACCACCTTCTGGTGCACGGGACAACGCTCAAACAACTGAACCACACTGGCCAGGGCCAAAGCAGTTTTATTAGAGTGATACTAAATGGATCTTTCCTCACTATAACATTTTAACTTCTTTGACAGCAAAGACTAGAACGTATTTCTCATAGTACCCTTGAAATAAGCTTTTAATATAACAATTCTTTTTCTTTTTTTTTTAAAAACCTCACCTAAGGATATTTTCCCATTGATTTTCAGATACAGTGAATGGGAGGGAGGAAGGGAGAGAGAGAGAAACATAGATCAGAGATAAATACATCTACTGGTTGCCTACTGCACGACCCCAAGCAGGGTCGGGGACCAAACTGCAGCCAAGGTATGTGCCCTTCATCAGGATCAAACCCGCAACTCTTTGGTCTGCGGGCAGATGCTCTAACCGCTGAGCCAAACCAGCCAGGGCTAACAATTTCTTGAATTGAGCCAGAGAGCTTTGCATGCCAAGAAAGGAACTTAGGCCCAATTGGTATAGCTCAGTGAATTGAGCCTTGTCCCATGGACTGAGAGGTTTTAGTTTGATTCCCAGTCAAGGCACATGCCTGGGTTGTGGGCTCAATCCCCAGTGGGGGGACAAGCAGGAGGAAGCCAATCAATGTTTCTCTCTCACACTGATGTTCCTATATTTCCCTTCCTGCCTCTCTAAAAAAAAAAGTCAATAAAAACATATATATTTTTTTCTTTATTGATTTGAGAGAGGAAGGGAGAAGGAGGGAGAGATAGACACACTGAAGAGAGAGAACATGATTGGCCTCCTCCTGCATGCCCCCCACTGGGAATTGGGTCCACAACCTAAGCATGTGCCTGACCAGGAATTGAATTGGCAACCTCTTGGTGCATGGGTCGATGCTCAACCACTATGCCATACTAACTGGGGAACAAATAAAAAAAAAGCTTAGCCCTGGCTGGTGTGGCTCCGTGGTTAGAGCATCAGTCCACGCACTGAAGGGTCTTGGTTTTGATCCCCAGCCCTGAATCGGGCACATGCGGGAGGCAACCAATCCATGTTGTCTCTCTCACTTTCTTGTCTCCCTCCCTTCATCTTTCCACTCTCTCTCTAAAAAAAAACAAAAAACAATGGAAAAAATATCCTTGAGTGGGGATTAACAAACAAAAAATAGCCTTAGTTTCTCTTACCTGGAATATTTCATCCTTATGTGATTCAAAGGAATGCAACTTAAGTTTCAGATTTCTCAGATCCCACAAGGCAACAGTCTATATACAGAAAGGAAAAAATAATCAATCATTTTTTCATGAGAAGAAAAATAAAACACATAAGGAAACGATCTCTGTGCATTCAAAAGAATGCCAGAGAAATCCACTCTGTTTTCTTTTAAAATAAATCAAACTAACCTTATCAGCTGATCCTGTGGCAAGAATGAATTCACTGTAAGGATTGAAAGAAAGGCAGTTCACTTCAGCAGTGTGAGCATCAACCGAGTGGCTTGGTTTGGAAGTATTGTTTGAACGAGTATCCCAGCTTTAGTGAAAAAAGGAAAAACAGGAAAAAAAGCTTGAAATGGGGAACTAAATATAACTTGGATAATTTATAAGAAAAATTTTAAAAATGTCCTCTACTCACATCATAAGTTTCTGATCATCAGCAACAGACCCAAACAGAGACTCATGAAGTAGATGCCAGGAAACATCTTCTACTACTGCTGTATGCCCTGTAAAGATGGTCTTCGCATCCACAACTTTTCCCTCCTTTGGAACAGCACTGATGTCCCATAGGCAGATGGTCTTAAATGTAAAATTAACTATTATAGAAAAGGAAGACTCTCACTTCCCCACATACCCCAGAAAAGAAACAAACTGATACCAAGCCCAGATTTGCTTCAAAACAGGAAGGATACACACATGGTCATCTGAAGCACTAAGTAAGTGCCCACTGAGATTTGGGTTCCAAGAAAGCCCATAGCCTTCCTTCTGATGTCCACGAAGACGCAAGTCTGGGTTGCATTCTCCAGAAGGATCTGCAAAGTAAAAGAAACATCAAAACTATCCATTTCATTGCCTCTTTGGATCTAATGAGCATAATAAAAAAAATTTTTTTAAAATTTTATTTCTTCATTGATTTTAGAGAGAGAAGGGAGGAGAGAGAGACAGAAACATTGATGAGAGAGAAAATGGACTGGCTATCTCCCGCATGTCCCCCACTGGGGACTGAGCCCACAAGCTGGGCATGTGCCCTTACCAGGAATCAATCCTGTGACCCTTTGGTGCATGGATTGACTCTCAACCACTGAGACACACCAGCCGGGCCATAATGAAATTTTTACTAAGAAGTCTAAAGCTCTCAATATTCATAAGCAATACCAAATATATAATGCTTAAGCTGCACCATCACTCTGTTCTATATAAAGAAGCACTTTTTTCACCTAAAGATGAAGAATATTCACACATATCCATATAAATCACAAAACAATAAATTACACAAGGAATAACAAGCAACTAAAAGACTGAGTGGAGCAATGTAATCCATAGTGACTCATTATTTGTATTTAAATTGAAGAAGGCAGGTACCTGGTTTGGAAGGATGTTTTGTATAGTCAAAAACAAGAACATCACTGGATGGAGTCTTTGTTGCGATGATGCAAGGATTTTGCGGCATATAACGTGCCCTGTTTACTTCTCCTTCATGGTTAATCTTGATTTCTATTTCAATTTTTCCACTAACAGAGCCAAAACCTCCAAATTCTGGAAATAAGAAATTGCAAATGAGGACAAAGCAAGAGCTGCTCTATGTAAGTCAAAGTACTACACAGGCAAGGCTTTTTATCAGTGAATTGGCATAATACTAGAAGGAATCTAAACATCTGTAGGCACCACAAAGTTCTTTCACACCTCTTATTTTATTTTTTTAAAATTTTCTTTTTTATTGATTTTCAGAGAGAGAGAAAGAGGGAGGGAGAGATAGAAACATCAATGAGAGAGAACATCAACTGGCTGCCCCCTACATGCCCTTCACTGGTGATTGGGCCTAAACTTGTGCATGTTTCCTGACCAGAAATCGAACCAGCGACCTCTCGGTGCATGGGTCAATGCTCAACCACTGAGCCAAACCAGCCGGGCTCTTATTTTATTTGGTAACCACATCCCTACATAGTAGGAAAGACAGCTATTATCTCAAAGTTTACAAGGGAAAATAAATTCAGAGTACCTACAATTGTTCATGTTGAAATGACTATAGCAGAACCTAAATTTAATTCCTATTTTTCTGATTCTTAGCCTAGAACTCTTTCAGCTATACCTACAATCACTCTAGGTAGTTATATTCCTAATAAATTATATTACTATCTAAAATTAAATTAAGGAATACTATGGACTCTACTTCAAAAGTAGGTTCTCTCGCCCTGGTGGTTTGTTCTGTGGTTAGAGCATCAGCCCATGGACCAATCAGCCCATGGACCAAAGAGTTGTGGGTTGGATTCCAGCCAAGGGCATGTACCTCGGTTGCGGTTTGTCCCTGGCCATGGTTGGGGTCGTGCGGGAGGCAACCAATTCATGTCTCTCTCACATCAATGTTTCTCTCACTCCCTTGTTTCTCTCTTTCTCTTACTCCCTCCCCTCCATGCTATCTAAAGATAAACCTCATTTTTTTAAATTAATTTTTGTGACAGATGTTTCTCCTTTTCCCCCCACTGATTCCCCCCCCCCCCTGCCCCGTCCCCAGCTTTGTTTTCGTCCATTGTTCATGCATACATACATATAAGTTCTGTGGTTTATCTCTCCCCACTACCCCCTCTTCTGGGGATTGTCAGTATGTACCCCACTTCCATGTCTCTGGGACTACCCCATTCCTCAGACTGTTATGTTCGTTATATTCCACAAATAAGTGAGATCATATGATACTTGTCTTTCTCTGTTTGGCTTGTTTCACTTAGGATGATACTTTCCAGGTCCCTCCATGTAGTCTCAAAGGATAAGAGAGCTTTCTTTCTTACAGCTGCGTAGTACTCCATTGTGTATATGTACCACAGCTTTTTTATCCATTCATCTACTGATGGACACCTGGGCTGTTTCCAGATCTTAGCTATTGTAAATAGTGCTGCTACAAACATGGAGGTACATATATTGTTTGTGATTGGTGTTTCAGGCTTCTTAGGGTATATTCCTAGAAGTGGGATCACTGAGTCAAATGGAAGTTCAATTTTTAATTTTTTGAGGTAACACCATATTGTTTTCCATAGTGGCTGCACCAGTCTGCATTCCCACCACCAGTGTACTAGAGTCCCTTTTTCTCCACACCCTCGCCAACACTTGTTGTTCAAACCTCATTTAAATGACCAAAAAAGTGTGAATAAATAAAACCTAAGTTACTATTTTAATCAATACCAAGTACACAATGTACTAGGTACTAAAAATCCCCCCCCCTTTTTAATCCTCACCTGAGGACATTTTTCCATTTTTTGTTCAGACAGAGTGGGAGGGAGAGAGAGGAACAGAGAGAGAGAGAGAGAAACATCGACGTGAAAGGAACACATCGAGTGGCTGCCACCCGCACGACCTACCAGGGCCGGGGACAAACTGCAACCGAGGTATGTGCCCTTAGAGGGAACCAAAACCGGGCCTCTCAGGACCGCAGGCCGATGCTCTAACCGCTGAGCCAAACCGGCCAGGGCTCCCCCCCCCACCTTTTAAAGACAAATAATCTTTTTACTTTTTGTATTTTTATTTTTATATTTTTATCTGCACCCGAGGACAATTTTTGATATTTTGTTCAGATAGAGTGGGAGGGAGAGAGAGAGAAACATTGACGGTAAAGGGACATATCGAGTGGTTGCCACCCATTCGGCCCAACCAGGGCTGGGGAGAACTTGCAACCGAGGTACATGCCCCTAGCAGGAACCAAACACAGATCTCTCTGGACCGCAGGCTGACGCTCTAACTTCTGAGCCAAACGGGCCAGGGCTACTTTTTATATTTTTAAAAAATCCTTACCCAAGGGTATTTTTTCACTACTCTTTAGAGTGGAAGGGATGGAGCAGGGAGAGAGAAAGAAAGATAGATGTGAGAGACACACATTGATTTGTTGCTTCCCACATAACCACGACTGGGGCCAAAGACTGAACCTGCAACCCACCTACATGCTCTTGACCAGGAATCAAACCCACAACTTTTTGGTCCACAGGCTGACGCTCTAACCGCTGAGCAAAATCAGCCAGGGCTCCCCCCACCCACCCGCCATTGATTTTAGAGAAGAAGGGAGAGGGAGAGAGACAGAGACATCAATGAGAAAGAACATCAATTGGCTGCCTCCTGCATGCACCCCACTGGGGATCAGGCCCACAACCTGAACATGTGTCCTGACAAAGAATCAAACCAGCAACTTCTTGGAGCATGGGTTGAATCTCAACCACTGAGCCACACCAGCCAGGTAAGAGTCCCTCTTATACTTATTTGAAGCGCCAGTTTGGGATAACCTTTCTGAAATACCATCACACCGTATCTTCTCCCTACACTTTGTCTTAGCCCAGTGAGGAAAAGCAGAGCCACAAGTGGAGTTCCATTTTCCTAACCCCCACTTATAGTTGCCAACCACATCCTCAGTTGAAATAAACCAGGTAGGCAAAGTCTATACAAAAACATTTTAAAAATTCATATTTGACTATTACATGCCCTTAGAGTTATTCCGAGTACCACTATAAAATGTATAACACAATATAATTTGTGGTTATGTAAATCTTGGCAAGCAATGTATTTACAAAGGCAGTAATGATTAGTCAAATTATACAAGGCAGTACCAAACGGCACCTAAGTAAGAGTAAGACATTAGCCTAAATAACTCTGCCCCTTACTAGCTTGGTGTTTTGGGGAAGGCCTTTAATTTCTCTGAGCTCTGAATACCTGATCCATTAAGTAAGTTCTAGGAGTAAATGAAAATACTATCAATAGTACTGTTATAGAAGTATTATACTTTGAAGGACAAAATCTTTTCAAAAAGCAAGGACATAGATGGGTAGTATAACTAGCAGATGAGATAACTTTCAACTTCAAAATAACTTTTACAAGTTAAAAACCAAATGTTTCAAAGACGTTAAAAAACTAAAAGTTTGGTTGGGCGTCGACCCATGCACCAAGAGGTTGCCAGTTTGATTCTGGGTCAGGGCACATTCCCAGGTTGTAGGCCAAACCCCAGTGTGGGGCATGCAGGGGGTGGGCAATTGATGTTCTCTCTCATTGATGTTTCTATCTCTCTCCCCTTCTCCCTCTCAAATCGATAAAGAAAAAAAAATTCCCCCTTCCAAGACCTCTAGACCACGGAGAACCTACAATGTAAGAAAAGAAGGCATATGATATATGATTTCAAGGAACTTTTAATCCAAACATGGGGAAATAAGCACACAATTACAGATGACTATGACAAAAAAGTATAACTGCTAAAAAACAGGTACCAATAATAAGGAAGAGCAATCTGGCATGGAGACCCCAGAGAAGTAACCATTACAAAACATGGGTTATTTCAGTACTGGGTATATACTAAACAGAAGGCCTTCCTAACTGTAAAGTACATCAATAAGTAATCAGCACAGAGGATTTATAATTGGGGTTTTATAAAGATGAGGACTTATCTATTAAAAAATAATTAGAAGTTCCCAAGTTGAAGCTGGTATGTTAAAGGCCAAATTTGAAGTAGGAAAGAGAGACTGTGGTATTAATGTAGTCATGGGTCACTAAACACCTGGGACAACATTCTAATAAATGTGTTACATAACTTCATCATTGTGTGAACATTACAGAGTATACTAGATGATCTAGCCTACTACACATGCAGGCTAGCTATATGGTATTGCCTACTGCTCCTGAGCCACAAACCTGTACATATAGCATGTCACTGTAAAGAACACTGCAGGCAACTTTAACACAATGGTAAGTACTCTTCTATGTATCTAAACATAGAAAAGGTACTGTAGAAATATGGCATAAAGGATAAAAAAATTGTACAGCCGTGTGAGGTATTTATCATAAATGGAACTTGCAGGACTGGAAGTTGTTCTGTATGAGTCAGTGAGTGGAGTGAATGACCTAGTATATTACTGTACACTACCGAAGACTTTATAAATACTGTCCCATGAGGTTTGCCCCTGCTTTCTTCTGACAGTCAGAAATAAAACACCGAAGTTGTCAATGCTGCTCTGTGAACAGTGATGTGTGCTGGATTGGAAATATAGAGGAGAAACTGGCTAGGAAGGTCACCATTCATAGTGACTGTCAGGAGGGAGTAAAAGGTGGCCTGAGGATTAATAGGAATAAGAAATCAAGATGGAGAAACAAAGTAACAAGGGATTGTCATGGCAATGTGGTTTTGGCTATTGCATGTTGAAACAGTGGTCAGATTAAGGAAGTTTGTGGTATTCATTAAAAAAAAAAAAAAAAAGCCCTGGCTGGTTTGGCTCAGCTGTTAGAGCATCAGCCTGCGGTCCAGAGAGACATGGGTTTGGTTCCCGCTAAAGGCACGTACCTCGGTTGCAGTTTGTCCCTGGCCCTGGTTGGGTCATGCGGGTGGCAACCACTCAATGTATTCCTTTCACGTCGATGTTTCTCCCCCGCCCCACTCTATCTGAACAAAAAGTGGAAAAATGTCTTCGGGTGAGGATAAAAAACAAAACAAAAAAATACCATTCAATATGGAGAGGATGGCCCTGGCCGGTTTGGCTCAGCGGTTGGAGTGTCGGCCTGCGGTACTGAGAGACCCG